TTACGAGGTAGAATTGTAATGTATTACTTGCTGTTAGTAACTCAGCTTATTATAGAGTATAGTAAGTATACTGATGGTGCGATGCAGTTTATACTTTAGTTTTTTATGTAGTTTATACTTTAGTTTTCTACGTGGTTGTTGAGTAACTGCAGCTACATATCATTAACATTCCTTTCCTTTGTTACTGCTAATCCCTGCACCCCCCTTGGTTGCTGCTGATCCTGCATAATGCATGGGCATAATATGACTTTGACACCCCCCCGCCCAACGCCTACGCATTTTCCATGAATATGCTAAATTCCTCTTCACATGCACATTCTTTTTGTTAAGGCGCTCTTCAACCCCCAATGCAGCTTATATATAAGCTCCTAGTTTGGTAGTGTCTCATTCTTCACCTGAAGACGGCTGCTTGCGTTGTAGCCGAAACGTCGTGAGAATTGTTTTATTATGTTTTATTTTTATTATTTTATTACTTCCCTTCTACGTGACTTTACCGAAAGAAACAAGAAGATGAATCCCTGCAGTCACGAAAGCTTTAAATCGAAATTTAACCGCCTCTACGGGGAGGGTTTCCACATAACTTTGAGATCCTTCAACAAGCTCCGGGATAAGAAGGCTCAGCTAATCGAGTCTCTCACCTTTCTGAAGAGATGCCGCGACTCTAAGGTAATACCAAACGCATTTACACTAACATCTGCTGCTGTAACTTCTTCTAATGCGAAACGAATTCTGTCTAGAACTAGCTTAGCTCTTATCTCAGAGAAAATCAGACTTACGCGCACCGAACTAGATCAGTTAGACAAGACACTCTACAAATCACACTTATCTTTGAGTGTAACAATGTCCACATCGGATTGGGAACATGTGGGAAAAAATGACTGCCTCTTCAGCTGCCGCTATGTCGACTAAATGTAAGGACAACTTGATTTCCAAATTCAATCGCCTCTCAAACAAGAAACCGGACCCACACATTGAAAAGCTAGATATTAACAAAGTCGTAATTAATCGCAGTAACAGTCCTATTTCTGAAGGTTTGAAATCCGTTTTAGCTAAAGGACTAAACTTTGCAGTCACACCTAGACACATACCAGTTAATGATATAATTGCTCGAGTAGATGTAGCTCTCAAGGGCTTGAGTCACATCGCTGCAGACGTAGCAAGATCTGAAATCTCTGTAACCCTCAAAAACGCTAAGATGCCAGCTAGCAACATCAGCAAAGAGGAGCGTTTTGAATTAGCTCAATTAAAAAAGAGGGATGACATTGTCATCCTCTCAGCCGACAAAGGCAATGCCACTGTCATCATGGACAAAATAGAATACAACAACAAAATTCAAGAACTATTAAACGATGGCAGCTATACAAAAATAAAAAGAGACCCCACCAACAGCCTCGTCTCCAAAACCAACAACATCATTTCTGCTTCAACCGCATTAATTGATCAGACCAAACAGTTCTCGTTGAAACCTTCTGCAGCCAGACCACCAAGATTGTACGGCTTGCCAAAGATACATAAAGAAGATACACCTCTTCGTCCCATTGTCTCTACCATCAACTCCCCCACTTACAAACTGGCTCGTTTTTTGTCCGAAATCCTACGGCCTTTCACTGGAAAAACCACCTCTGCAGTACTAAACTCTACTGACCTGGTATCGACAATCAAGGGGATTGCCCTGTCCCCAGACGACCTGCTTGTCAGTTTTGATGTGGTTTCCTTGTTCACCAAGGTACCTGTGCCTGACACCATCGCAATCATTGAAGACTTGGTTCATCAAGGACTGAATGCTGGGGTACCCCCCCTGGTGAAACACTGCTTAACCAATACATACTTCACCTGGAATGGAACCTTCTACAAGCAAATTGAGGGCACCCCAATGGGCTCCCCCCTATCTCCGGTTGTAGCCAACATCTTCATGGAGAAATTTGAGACGGACGCTATCCAGACTGCCACTCTACGCCCGACCTTATGGAAGAGGTACGTAGACGACACTTTTGTCATCTGGCCACATGGCCGGCCTGCTCTAGACCAATTTCTCGACCACATCAATTCCATACACCCAGCCATCAGATTCACCATGGAAGTCGAAAATGATGGCAAGCTACCCTTTTTGGATGTCCTAATCAAAAGGAGACCTGATGGTTCAATGAGCCACTCTGTCTACAGGAAAGCCACCCACACGGATGCTTATCTAAAACCGGATTCCCACCACCATCCATCCCAGAAGAATTCCCTCATCAAGACTCTATATCATAGAGCCCAATGCATCTCCGACCATGAACACATTTCCAGTGAACTCAAACACGTACGCCAAGCTCTTAAGGCAAATGGTTACTCCGACTATACAATCCGCAAAGCCATCACTCCAACCATCAAGAAGGATCCTGTTGAGGAGCCTTTCAAGACCATCACCTTACCCTACATTGCTGGGGTCACAAAAAAGATCTCCAAAATCCTGATTAAACACAAGATCCAGGTCCGATTCAACACAGTACATAAAATCCGTGATCTGGTACCGTCTGTAAAAGATGTGGTTCCAGACATACAGTACCCTGGCGTCTACAAACTAAGTTGCCTCTGTGGTAGCAGTTACATTGGGGAAACCAAACGACATGTCTCGGACCGCATCCGTGAACATAAAGCTGACCTGAAACACGGTAGGACAAACACCTCAGCCGTGGCAGATCACTGTTACAACTCAGTGGGCTCACATGATATCGACTTCTCCAAGACAGAGGTTCTCTGCAAGCCATCTGGCTATCATGAGAGATTCGTTCATGAGGCGATCCACATATACAAACACAGAGACAATTTTAACCGAGAAGATGGATTCTGGCTCAGCAATCATTGGAAGGATGTAATAAACCATTTCGATACACATTAGGGTGTGTAGAATAATACATAGTGTTATATTAAATGTATAAGATATAGGTTGGTTTACAGCAATACAGTATATAATTTAATGTTGGGTTTATCTATGGCAGTATATAGTACGGTATATGCTCGTGTGATATAAGAGAATAAGGTTTAGATGGAAGCATATTATAGAATTTTTACGAGGTAGAATTGTAATGTATTACTTGCTGTTAGTAACTCAGCTTATTATAGAGTATAGTAAGTATACTGATGGTGCGATGCAGTTTATACTTTAGTTTTTTATGTAGTTTATACTTTAGTTTTCTACGTGGTTGTTGAGTAACTGCAGCTACATATCATTAACATTCCTTTCCTTTGTTACTGCTAATCCCTGCACCCCCCTTGGTTGCTGCTGATCCTGCATAATGCATGGGCATAATATGACTTTGACACCCCCCCGCCCAACGCCTACGCATTTTCCATGAATATGCTAAATTCCTCTTCACATGCACATTCTTTTTGTTAAGGCGCTCTTCAACCCCCAATGCAGCTTATATATAAGCTCCTAGTTTGGTAGTGTCTCATTCTTCACCTGAAGACGGCTGCTTGCGTTGTAGCCGAAACGTCGTGAGAATTGTTTTATTATGTTTTATTTTTATTATTTTATTACTTCCCTTCTACGTGACTTTACCGAAAGAAACAAGAAGAACACAAAGCAGTACTGAAGAAATAAATTCTCAATTTAGATAATTTAAAAGTTCATAGCTACCAGTAGCTTCCTTATATCGGAAGAGCATTCCAAACGGCCACAGAAGCGTATCCAAAAGCACCCCGCGATGCAGTGACCATCTTTGTTCGATGGCCGGCCAAAAGCCACTGCGAACTTCTTTCGCCTATCACATCACTTTCCTTTTAAGGCCACACAGCATTACAGATTAATGCATTCAGTGTGTTTTCTTTGTTGTTTAGGTTTTATGAGCGTTATAATAACAATAGTTAAACTTTATATGGCAGCGTTAATCGTGCTAATTTCATCCCACAACCGCCATAAAATAAAAATGAATAAATAAATGACACCAAAACAAAAGGCACACCCAACAGAAAGTTGTTAAACCAAATAAATTAGTCCATTGGGTCTCACAACATCCCGGACCACAGTCCCAACTTCTCACTCAAGCCAGGAAATTCCAACCATGTATTTGTGTTGTTTGTCGTTGTAACTCGTTAACCCACATCTGTGAAAAAGAGCTTCATAGCTCATCGGATTCCTCCTTTTGCAGTCTAAATCCAGATTCTTATTCTGAAACCCTTCAAAGAGTTACCACGAATTTAGACCAATCGGTCAAATTGTCTACAATGTGATTTTCAAATATGCAATGTGATTTCCAAATATTCACCGGAGGCACACACCACGAAGAGGTTATCACGATACGCTTGGGCATCACCAAAAAAATAAACTAAGACTATGTATTTATTACCAGCTAAGGCTCCACTGAGCTATGTAGCTCTTTTTCAGAAGTGACCTGGCCGTCACAAATGATAGCTCAACGAAGTGGCTTATCATGTGGACATTTTTACCAGCCAAATACTCTAAACGTGTGATGTTGATTCTAATTGTGGAGGGAAAACCCGGAGGACCCAGAGAAAATCCATGTCACCGCAGGGAGAGAGATAAAGCCGCAAACTGCAAATATACAGTAGCCGTCGGGGTCGGGATGAAATTCACGACCCCCTGCATATTAGGCGAGGAAGGAAACATCTTGCCACTCCCCATTAACTCATTTTGTTTGTAAAACGATAAACTATTTTTATTTCACCAGGTAATGCCCACTGAGCTATGTAGCTCTTTTTAAGAAGTGACTTGGCTATCACAAACGATAGTTTAACGAAATAGCGTATTATAATGTCGATATTGAAAGCAGTAGCTAAATACTCTAAACGCGTGATGTTGATTATAAATGTAGAGGGAAAAAGCGAAGGACCCGGAGAAAATTCCAAGCGACAGTGGGTAGAGAGAGAGAGACAAGCAAACACCAAATATAAAGCAGGCGTCAGGTTCGGGATTGAACCCACGATCACCTGCAAACCAGGCAAGGGAATTAACATATTGTCACCGTGGTGCCCACACTGTTGTATGCATGACGCAGGACCCAGCAAGCAGCAGAAACAGCAGAATAAGCTCAGGAGGAACGATGACGTGCACCATCGCAACGATGGTGCTGGCCGTCCTGGTCGCCATGAGCGCTGAGTGTACGGGTGAGCACTTGGCTCCTCCTCACCTCATTCACCTCACCCTGCCCTCATTTCGTCACGATCACCTCCTCACGACCACCATCACCTCGTCACCTCCACTAACACCTTACATCCATCACCTCATCATATCCATCATCACCTCCTCACGTTCATCATCTCCTCACATCCACCATCACCTCGTCACACACACCATCACCTCCTCACATCCATCATAACAACCTCACGATGACCATAACCTCCTCACATCCACCATCACCTCCTTACATCCATCATCAACTCGATACTTCCACCGTCACCTCGTCACGTTCACCATCATCTCCTCACATCTACCATCACCTCCTCACGACTACTATCATCTCCTCACGTTCACCATTACCTTCTTATGTCCATCATCACCTCCTTCCCTGTTATCTCCACAAACAGTATCTACCTCTTTCTTCTAATCTCACTCAACTTTGTACTACAACGAAATTGCACTCCCACCCTGGCTCACCACACACGCGACCACACTGCACTACCAAACTGTACTACCAAACTGCACTACCACTCGACACCACCACTCTGTAAAGCTACTGCACTACCACACTGCACATAGTACTGCACTATCACACTGCAGGAACTACTGTACCAACTACTGCACTAACCACACTGCAACAACTACTGCACTTTCACACTACACTACCACTCTACACCACCACTATATACCACCACTCTATACCAAATACTACACGACTGCACCATACTACTGTAATGCGGTTGTAAACGGCCCTTCTGAGGCGCCGTCAGGGGGGGAGGAGTTAGGTCACGTGGGGGGCAGAGGGGTTGAGTATAGAAGGAGGGGAACCGGAAGAGCAAGGGGAGTGACGGGGAACCAGGAACAGAGGAAGGCCACGAAGGGCGAAGCGGGGTGTGGCGAGATCGCCACGAACACGGGGGGAGCGAGGATCGGCACCGTTGGCCAGCGGTGACCGACCCGAAGCAGCGAGGAGGCTGCAGTCAGCAGCGGGGCTGCACAGAGAGGGTGGGCAGCGGGTCTGCATACAGTGACAGCCAGAGGGTCTGCACATAGGGGTAGCAGCGGGAGTCTGCATAGGGGTAGCAGCGAGTCTGCAGGGAGGAGGTTACAGTAGATGAAGCAGAGAGTCAGAGGGGAGAGGAAGCTATAATAGCAGTGAATAGCCGGGGGCTACAAATACAGGAGTTATAACAGAGTGCCGTGTGGGTAAAGACGTGAACCTGAATAAAGACACGAAGACAGAGAGAAGTGTTCGAGTCCTTTTATTACACTGGAGTCAGAAGTGAAACGGCATGGCGAAACAACTGAGGAAGAAGAATATCCCATCTCCGGCGTCGGCTTCATCATCGGACGACGACGATCTTCCTCCTGAGGTCGGCTTCACTTCGGCGGAGGGAGAGATCCGTGAGGGCCCGGGTGTGGAGGAGGTTGCCGCTGCGTCCGACCCATCTGCGTTGAAGGACGAAGATTTAAGATGGACCCGGATGGCGGAGCAACTGGCGACCCTAAAAACCGTCATCACGGAGTTGTGTGACCTTGTCACGCCAAGGGCGGCGTTGGAAGGTGATGGTGGTGATCGGCAGGAGCCCGGGTCGTCTTCGATGGCGCCGCCATCGGCCACGCGGCGTGAAGACGCCATCTTGGGCGTGGCGCACCACGGAAGGCGGGAAGCCGCCATTTTGGGGCCGCCACGAGGATCGTCCGCCATCTTGGCGACACCGCGTTGCGACGCCTTGCTGAACTTGCCGCCGGAAGAGTCGGTGACGGACGGAAGCAGGCCAAGGAGCCGCAGTCGTCACCTTACAACTGTTAAGGAGTTCTCCATCGGGGGCGATTGGAGTGCGTTCGCTTGTCGATTTTTGGCGGCGGTACGAACGGCAAGGTGGACGGACGCCGAGGCGCTGGAGGTGCTTCCGACTCTCCTTGACGATGAGTCTGTTCGTTTTTTTCGCTCTATAAAAGCTGCGAAGAAGAAAACATTGCGTGGAGTGTTCGACGAAATGGCGGACGCGTACGAGCCACCGGATGACGCCCATCGCCGCTTCGTGCAGCGGCAACGCGCACCGGAGGAGTCGCCTGTAGCGTACAGGGGCGCCGTGCTGGAACTCGCGATGGCCGCTTACCCGGAGACGGAGCCTGACCTGCTGGAACCTCTCATCTTGGGGAAGATGTTGGAGTTATCCCGGGATCTGGGCATTCCTATGCCGGCGTGCGGTCACGAGAAACTCACGTCCCGGACCGCGGCCAAGTGTTTGGACGCCCAGTTCAATCTCCGCCGCTGGAAACAAGTCACGGCGTGGACGGGCGGTCCTGTCGTCGATGGGGGGGCCGTAGGGTGGGACCCTACAAAGGCCGTGTACGTGCCGGATGCGACCGGCCCAAAGGAGCTGTCGGCCGCCTCCACTCCGTGGCCGGCTCGAAGCGGGCCGGGGCTGCGGGCTCCGCCGCCGGCGCGGCCACGTCGGGACGGGGTGCCTGCTGCGCGCCGACCCGACGTCGACTGTTTCCGCTGCGGCCGTCGGGGCCACTATGCCAGGGACTGCTGGGCCCGGGTTCCGGGGCCGCCCCAGCAGGAGGCCTCGATCGCGGACGTCCCAAAGAAAGACCCTCCGGCACAGGCAAGTCGGTGCGCACCAGACACCCGGCAAGGCCTAACACCTCACTCATCGCCGTTGTTGTGCGACGCGGATGTTCTAAAATATGGGAGGCCAGTATCTGCGCCTTGTCGCTCGATAACGCAGTGGCGTAAGTTGGCTCGGCGGGTTGTCGCGGCCGCTACAGGTTCGTCCACTGTACCGGGGTCGATCCAAGGGGTGGACGTGCGTATTTTGGTGGATTCCGGGGCGTCCGCGACCATTATTTCGGATGTCATATTCCATCTTTTGAACATCCCACCGGGGGCCGTGAGGCCGGCTTACGCTTCCTGCATCGCTGCGAACGGGGGTAGTATGGGCATCGTGGGACAGGTGGACGCTAATATTTCTATCGGGGGGGTCTCGGCCTCGGGCGTTGTGTTAATTTCGAGGTCCCTGGCGGTCCCTTGCTTGTTGGGCACGGATTTTTTGGCTAAGATGCCCATTCTAATTAGAATCAATGAAAATTGCATTGAACTACCAGGGGGCCGCAAATTGGCGTTTTTACAGTCCACCTGGGGGCGACCGGCTCCGGTTGCCCAGGTGCAGGCGTTATCGGAAGTTTCAGTTGATATTCCACCTGGCTCGCAGATGCTCATTCCCCTACGATACCGGAAGCCGGTTCCGGGTCGGCAGGGTGCTTGTGGAATTTTGCTGTCGCCGTCCGCCGCTGTTACGGGCGGATTGGCACTGGTGGGGGCGCAAACCATTGTCCGTCCGGATCAACGCCCGTTTTTGCAGGTGTTAAATGCGAGTTCTGAAAGCGTGTGTGTGCCGGCTGGTACCGTTGTGGCACACGCCACTACGGCGTTTACGGCTCAGAGTGACATTCCGAACGGGGGGCTGGTGGGTGGTGTTTCACACGACGGAGGGGTGGACGATCGTTGGATCGCCGAACTATGTGCGGAAAATTCGGCCCTTTCCGCTGAGCAGCGTTGTGCGATTCATAAATTATTAGCGAGCTATTCCGATGTGTTTAGCTCGGACGATTTGGACTTGGGACGCACCTCGCTGCTCTCTCATCACATCGAAACGGGGGACGCGGCCCCTATCCGCTTGAACTCGCGTCGGATGAGTCCGGCTGAGCGTGAGCACATGCGAGGGGCAGTGGAAGACATGTTGAAAGCGGATATTATATCTCCGTCTAATAGCCCGTGGGGCACGCCTGTCGTGTTGGTTAAAAAGAAAGATGGTAAATTACGATTTTGTGTGGATTTTCGGAAGTTGAATAAAGTGTCGGTGGCAGATGCGTATCCCCTGCCGCGTATGGACGATTCTCTCGACGCCTTGTCAGGGGCTAAGTTTTTTTCAACGCTAGATCTCTCTTCGGGCTTCTGGCAGCTTCCCCTTGACGAGCCCTCGCGGGAAAAGACAGCGTTCCGTACGCCGCAGGGGTTGTTCCAATTTAACTGTCTGCCGATGGGGTTGAATGCAGCCCCTGCCACCTTTCAGAGATTGATGGAGTTGGTATTGACGGGGTTGCAGTGGGAGACATGTCTCATTTATTTAGATGATATTATTGTCTTCAGCCGCACATTTGATGAGCATTTATTGCGGTTGGAGGCCGTTTTTGCCAGAATGCGTTCTGCTAATTTGAAATTCAAGCCTAAGAAATGTCATCTACTGCAACGTTCCGTTCGATACTTGGGACATATTGTTAGTGCGGACGGGGTGGCCACGGATCCAGAGAAAACTGCGTGTGTCCGGGATTGGGCAACCCCCGCCACGGTGGGTGATGTGCGTCGGTTTTTGGGGTTCGCCTCATATTACCGGAGGTTTGTTCCGAATTTCGCTACTATCGCCAGGCCTTTGCATCTCCTTACTGGGAAGGGGCACAAATTTGTGTGGGGACCGCCGGAGGAGGCGGCGTTTCGGAGCCTGCGCGATCTACTGGCTACTGCGCCGACGTTGGATTATCCGGACTTTGAACATCCCTTCATTCTGGATACTGATGCGAGTGACACCGGGATTGGGGCGGTGTTGTCCCAGTCAAAAGGTGGTGTTGAGCGTGTGGTGGCGTACGGGAGTCGGGTTTTGTCTCCCGCGGAAACTCGTTACTGCGTCACTCGCAGGGAACTTTTGGCTATTGTGTATTTTCTCCGCCAATTTCGACCGTATCTGTACGGTCGGTCGTTTATTGTCCGAACGGACCATGCGGCCTTGCAGTACGCTCTTAAGATGGACCAGCCATCCGGACAATTGGCGAGATGGCTGGACACGTTGCAAGAATTCTCCTTCCAAATTCACCATCGGAAGGGTGTGCGTCACGCTAACGCGGACGCACTGTCCAGGTTGCCGCAACAATCCCCTTGTGCGTGTGCGTCGGGGACGCATAGGTGTGGACCGGCTCAGCC